AATGAATTTTACTTGAAGAACAAATGAGATAATAATAATAATAATAATAATAATAATAATAATAATAATTATAACAAAAAAAATGGTGTTTTTTTGGTTAGTGTGCACCTTGACGAGTTCGAGCTCTCCACCTTCCACCACATCCCAGATTCAGTGATACCTCACATCAATATTCTTAGTGCGGGAGTGATAGGTTGAATTCTTCGCAACATAGATTGCGCTTTGATTGTCACAACCCAACTCGTACTTGTCTTGATTATGGCCGAGTTCCATGAGGAACTTCTTCATCCACAACATCTCTTTGCTTGCCTCAGTAGCGGCAATGTACTCAGCCTCAGTTGTCGATAGTGCAACACATTTCTAAAGTCTTGATTACCAAGAGATAGCTCATACGACAAATCTCATCAAATATCCTGTAGTCGACTTCCTCGAGTCGGTGTCTCCCCCTAAATTAGAATCCGAGTAGCCTTGCAACTCGGCTTTTCCTTCTCCAAATCGGAGACATAAGTTGGTCGTACCTCGGAAGTACTTAAAGATCCACTTCACTACTTCCCAGTGCTCTTTGTCGGGGTTTGACAAATACCGGCTTACCATTCCAACAGCATACGCCAAGTCGGGTCTAGTGCAAACCATTGCATACATCAAGCTTCCGATAGCGGATTGGTACGGGACCTTCATCATCTCATCTTTGTCTTCATCAGATCTTGGACATTGCTTCTGGTTCAGCTTTATGTGTCCGGCATGAGGGGTGCTCACTGTTTTGGCTTTGTCCATGTTGAATCTCTTCAGAATCTTCTCAATATATTTCTCTTGACTCAGCCATAGTAGCTTCTTATTTCTATCTCGGATAATCTTGATTCCGAGTATCTACTTTGCAGGGCCGAGGTCTTTCATTGCGAAGGACGAGATCAACGCCTTTTTTAGGGCGTCTATCCTCGATTTGTCTTTCCCTACAATAAGCATGTTGTCAACATATAACAACAAGATCAAAAAATCTACGGCCTCATACCTCTTCAAAAATACGCAGTGGTCAGCATCTGTCTTTTCAATCTTATGATCAGTCATGAATGATTCAAATTTCTTGTACCACTGCTGAGGTGCTTGCTTCAAGCCATAGAGGCTCTTCTTCAACCGACATACCAAGTCTTCTTGGTCTGGAGCTCGGAATCCTTCAGGTTGCTCCATATATATATTTCTTCTTCTAAATCATCGTGAATAAATGTCGTCTTCACATCCATTTGTTCTACCTCGAGGTCCATCGAAGCTGCCATGACTAACACGGTTCGGACCGAGGTTATTTTCACCACAGGAGAAAAAAATCTCCTCAAAGTCTACTCCTTTCTTCTGATTGCATCCTTTCACTACAATCCAGGCTTTGTATCTCGGCTTTTGCCCGTTCTCTTCATTCTTAATCTTATAGACCCATTTATTTTTCAAATCTCGTCTTCCTTTAGGCAATTCAGTTAGCTCATAAGTCTGATTCTCGTGAAGAGACTTCATCTCGTCTTGCATTGCCTTTTTCCATTCTTCTTTCTCTGAGCTTATCACTGCCTCATCATAACTCTGAGGCTCACCGTCTTCAGCAACAACGGTGTATTCATCAGATGAGTATCTTGTAGAGGGTCTTCTTTCTCGAGTTGGATATCTCAGTTGTTCTTCAGCTTGAGGACCCGGTTCATCATTCTCATCCCGGATCTCATCATCAACTCGGACCTCAGTGTCTTGGTCATCTTCAGCTTGTTGCTGATCATCATTTTCTTCATTTTCTTGATTTTCTCCCCCTGCTCGGACAGGAGGGTTGGGATCTTCACGTCTGACAGTAACTCGGACTTTGGGCTTCGAGATGTCATGAATGTTCTCATCTTCATGAAAGATCACATCTCGACTTCTCACTATCTTCTTGTTGATTGGATCCCAAAGTTGGAACCCGAACTCACATCTCGGCAAACCAAGATAGATGCATTCTTTTGTCTTCGCATCAAGTTTTTCCCTTTCATCTTTAGGGATATGCATGAAAGCTCGTTATCTAAACACTTTTAATTGATTATAGGCCGCTTTCCGACCTGTCCAGACTTCTTCTGGAATTTCTCCTTCAAGTGGCCGTGATGGTGAGAGCTTGATCAAGTCAACAGTTGTTTTGACGGATTCTCCTCAGAATGATTTCGGCAATCCGGCATTGGATAACATGCTTCAGACCTTATCTTCAATAGTTTTGTTCATCTGCTCAGCCAGTCCATTCAGCTGAAGTGTCTTGGAGGGCGTATTCTCTGGTCGAATCCCGGCCGCTCTGCAGTATGCATCAAATGGGCCGCAATACTCACCACCATTATTAGATCGGACCATCTTCAATTTCTTGCCAGTCTCCCTTTCAACCATAGCATGGAATTCTTTAAAGGATTGGAGTACCTGATCTTTAGACTTCAACAAATATACCCACACTTTGCGGGAGTGGTCATCAATAAATGAAACACAGTACTGAGCTCCTCCAAGAGATCTTTCCGACATGGAGCAAACATCAGTATGGATGAGGTCAAGAATATTCCTGCGTCGTCTTGGTTGATCCGGTCTCACAAAAGAAACTCGGTGTTGCTTTCCAGCTAGGCAGTGCGTGCAACTCTCCAACGCTTGGCCTTTCAACCCGGTCAATAATCCTTTCCTGTTTAGGATCTGGAGCCCTTTCTCGCTCATGTGGCCGAGGCGCTTGTACCATAGCTCCAAGCTAGGTTCATCTCGAACATAATTGGCTTCTCCGCCATTGATATTTCCTTGCATCACGTACAACGAGCCTTCTTTCTTACCTCGGGCCACGACCAAGTTTCCCTTGGCCAGCTTCCATCTCACACTACCGAAGTAGTTTACTAACCCGACATCATCAAGTTTGCCTACCGAGATTAGGTTCAAACGCATATCAGGAACCGGCATCCGACATCCGTGGTCAGAGTTACATCACCGACACCAACAATCTTGCTGGTCACTTGATTTCCCATATTCACGACTCCAAAATCACCACCTCGGTAAGAGGAGAAAAAACCTTTGTGTGGAGTAACGTGGAAGGAGGCACCAGAGTCAACAATCCAGGTGCAGTCATCATATGCAACTTTCAAATAATTATCCTCACCAAAGAGGAATATCTCGGCATCCGGGTTGGCAGCCACCGCAGTGGTGCTCTTGTTTTTCCTCTTCTTGGGAATAATCTGATCCGGCTTCACAGAGCCGTTCTTCTCATCATTCTGCAGGGTCCAGCAGTCTGGCTTCTTATGGCCTGTCTTTCCACAGTAAAAGTACTTTAACTCATATTTCGGCTTTGACCGACCTCTGGACTTTTCTCGTCTGTCACGACCTCTATCCCTGCTTTTGCTTCTACCCCGGGAGTCAGATTTCCCTTTGTTCTCAACAACGTTGGCCTCAGACGTGCTCGAAACACCTCGTTCTCTTCTCCTGTCTTCTTTGCTCAGGAGGCAGTCTGTCACGACATCCATCTTCAACTTTCCTTCTGGAGTTGAATTACTCAAAGTCACCACCAGAATATATTTCCTAATCGTGGCTACCGCCTTCCGACTCAGGATCTCCCACTCCTTATCAGTTTCGCCTGCCGGTCTCTCATCAAGGATAATGGGCTTATGTAAATCTTTGCAGTAGAGATGATCTTCCATCATCGATCTCCAATAGGTGAAATTATCTGCGGTCAACTTGAACATGTCTCCATCATTGGTTATGCCACTGGTCTCCATCTCGTCTCCCTCAGAACCCGTCGAACTCGGGCTCTGATACCACTGTTGGGAACTCGGTTCCCTCAGATCGACTCAGGGGCTTTGTGCGGAAGTCAATCAACAAGATCCTGATCTCGGATCTCGGCAATACCTCGACCAGAACTTCACCAGGTCGGGCAGCGCATCGGAAATATCAAAACGAAAAACACAAAACAGGAGAGAGAGAAGAAGAACACAACCAGATTTAACGTGGGAAAACCTTCTTCAATGAAGAAGTAAAAACCCACGGGACCTAGTCCAGATCAAAAAATCCACTATGAAAATAACGGTTACAAATAATCAAGAGTAAACACCATTTTTGGTCCCTAACAAAAAACACGTTCCCCACTTTAGTCCTTTACAAAAATAAATTAGTCAGTCAGTCCCTAACAAATTCAAAGTGGACCAATTTTAGTCTTTTTGAGGGACTAATATGGGTCTTTTTTGAATTTGTGAGGGACCACGATTTAAACTAAATGGGTCCACTTTGAATTTGTTAGGAACTAACTGACTAATTTATTTTTGTATGGGACTAAAGTGGGGACTGTGTTTTTTGTTAGGGACTAAAAATGGTATTTACTCAATAATCAAATACACCAATGTGGTGGTCAACTCAACCTCTCCAACAATGGTGATAATCAAACTACCCTAGAGATGTTTCACTCAAACTCTCTCTAGAGATCTCTCTAATGCAAAGCATAAAGCTTTGCTCAAACAATCAAATAATTATCTCTCAAATTTTCTCTCTAATCTCTTCTAACATCTGACTTAGCCTCCACCCTCAACTAATGAATATATAGAGGAGGTGAAATTTAGAGTTAGGGTTTTTAGGCAATATGTTATTAATTATTTCTTAAAGAAATTTTACTTATATGTATAAAATTTCCATGTTTTTTAAAAACAACCACATCTAAATATTTAATTCCTAAATTTTCAATTTCTTTTTCAAGATATTGATGAGGAAAGTAAAGAAAATGACAAAGAAAAGACCCTCTGAATTTGTTTTCATTTACTTTGCGATGGTTTCAATTTAGGTTTTCTAAAGTTAAAAAGAGAAATTAAAAAACTGTCACAACTTTCAAAAGGAACACCTAAAAGAAAAGTGTAAAATAAATCGCCACTTTGGGCTACATTGGAAAAGCCTTGTTTTGAAAGCCCAAACCCAATTGTGGCTCTTTTCTTCTTCTAAGCCCATCACGAAAATGCTCCTTTTTACGTAACACGACACCGTTTGTTGCACAGCTCTGGGAGTATTGGATAGAGTGGAAGAAGAAGAAGACGAGAAGAACAAAGAAGGTAAAGGTGCCCTCAAATAATCCTCTCTAACGGTAATGGTTTCTTTCATCCTTCAATTTACACTATGCTTCTTCGGACTTTTCATTTTGTTATATAGATTATAGTCTTCACGTGAGTTGATGCGGTTGATTCGTTTCTGTGTTTGTGAATTTTGTTGTTGGATACTAATCTATGTTTTAAGCCTTTAATTTTCGATAATAAGTGTGTTTTTAGCTTAGACACAAAATTTTCTGATGAAATTTTAACATAAAAGGATGCATTCTGGTTTGAACTGTTACGAGGGGATTGTGCAAGTGGAAGGGATTCTATTGGGATTTAGGTTCGATTATTTCAATTTCAGACTCATTTGAACCCCTAATTAGCTATTACTTTTCTTTCAGTCTGAAAAAAAAAAAAAACAAAAAAAATTTGGGGCTGTGTAATGATTATTTTCCACTCTTTTTTTTTTTTATTTTCTTTTTTGAGTTTTTGGTTATTGGAGTTGTCAATTTGTTAAGGATGGCCGGGATTTTGTTTGGAAATTGTTGAAGAAACTAATGCTCAGAGATATGTGATTGTGTCTGTTGTTGTAGGGATCAGGTGGTGGTGTGTTAGTACTGTAACCTATTTTAATATTTTCAGTTTAAGCAATCTGACTTGAAGTCTGATTATATGAAATGCTAGAGTGTAATGGTTGAATTTTGGGGTAGCTGATTTGCTTGGCAAAAATGAATACCGTTCAAGTTACTGCAACATGCCAACCTGGGATTTATGTGAAAAATGTATCTCAGTTGCACCAGCTTCATTCTAAACCATATGTTTTACCAATGAGTATCAATACTTGCTCTCGTATTCCGATGAGTGGAAGAGCAAAACCATCATCTGGCTTGGAATGTAGGCCCATTTCAAAATCTCGTAAACCTCTCCATATTTGCTTGGCTGGTGGAAAAGGAATGATGAGCAATGATGATGAGGTATTGCTCCTTCTTTTAAGTTACAATTGAGTATGTTATCATGTTGTGAATATTTATGGTAAGCATGCTTATAATGCTTTTATGAAATGATGAAGTGTAATGTATGAAATTTAGGGTACTTGATCTTTTTGATAAAGATAAACCCTTTCAGGTTACTGTACCTGAGATTGATGTCAAATATATCTCAGTTGCACCATCTTCTTTATAGACTATGTGCGTTTAGAAGGAAGATGGTGTATCTGAAAAATATTGCTTAATGTTCAATTTTCAAAGATCATTTTAAATTTGGCTACAATATGCATTATGCAACGTTCCTTTCAGCATATATTTGTGTGCTTTACCCCTTACCTTTTTTATTATAGATTTTTAGCAATTTATCCCCCTTAAAACTAGACAAAAATTTAGTTGTTTGTTTGCTCGTTTTGCTCTTGAACTCATTGTCTGCTGGTTTTTGGTTGATGCTCCTGAGTTATTAATAGTCAAATAATGGATTAACAATAAGAACAATCTGCTATCTTAGTTAAAGGAGCATGTGTTAAGAAATACTGCCGTGTGAAGGTTAAAGGGGATAAATTGCTACAATAAGGAACCAAGGGTATACAACCTGAACCTAAGCTGGAACATGTATTGTGTCTTACTGAAAATTCTCTTGGCAGCAGCCCAAACAGTTAGAATAGAATAGAATAGAAGCTGCCCCTTTCTTTTCAATTCAACTCAAGCCCAAAAGATTGTCACTAACTCCTTTCTATCATGAATCTTTGTCAAGTAGAGGATAACTAATATTTTAATTATATATATATATATATATACTGGTTTGGATATTCCTATATTTTCACTAACATTATAAATGTAATTAGATTTCCCCATGGAAAGCTATGGAGAAAGCTATGGAAAAATTTAAGGGACAACCAATAGAGGATGTGTTACGGGAGCAAATTGGAAAAGGTGAGTACTATGACAATGGTGGCAGGGGAGCAAAACCACCAGGTGGTGGCAGCGGTGGTGGCGGCGGTCCTGATGGCCCTGGTGGACCGGAAGATGAAAACTTTGCTGAGACGTTCGATGAGAATCTCCAAGTGGCTTTAGCAACCCTTGGCTTTATATTTCTGGTATAAATAAATAACTCATCTTCATTCACTCATAACTCTCGAACATTCTTTTTTTTTTTTTGTGAAATTGTGAATTGTGAAAACTGAAAGGAGAAAGGTTTAAGCGGAAGTAGCTTAGTAAAAAATGATCATAGTTGTGTGTGTGATTAATGGAAGAAGACTTCCAAGTTAAACTGCTTTAATATAATTTAAATTACTGATATTAGTAGCTAACTGAGTTTATAGGATATATGCCATTCTTCATTTCTTAATGTTGAAGCTCTACATATTTTCCAGTACATTTATATCCTCACTGGCGAGGAATTTACGAAGCTAGCTAGAGACTATATCAAGTATGTTTTTGGTGGAAGTCAGAGTGTTAGACTGAAGAGTGCTATGTCAAAATGGGAACAATTTTCCGAGATGACAGAGACGGAAGAGGATGATGAGTATTGGTTGGAAGAAGCCATTATGGATACCCCAACATGGTGGTACAACCCTGACGATTACTATACCGCCGTAAATAATTATTTGAAATCAAATCCAGATGAATCAGATTCAGATTTCTAGACTCTGTAGCATCCTATTTTGCTGTCGCTTACATATGTTTTTCCCTCAAGGTTAATGAAGCTTTCTTGACATTGTATGATCCTGTTTTCAATGGATTGCCCTTCCATGCATTTGTTTTTCTCAATATAAATGGAGCCAGGAAATCAATTCGGCTATTTTACATGAACTAAAATTGTTTCTCCATAATCATTTGGAGCCCATTTATAATCATTCTTTGTTGCTAGATTTTTCATGTTAAAACCACTAGGCTAAGTACTTGCATGACAGCACAAAGCACATGAATGAACTGGTAAAAGTTGTTCTAGTTTACTTTGCCGCTTTTTGTATTGGATTATCCGAATAACTGATTAACTGACCAAGAAATCTTTTTTAAAAAGGAAAAGAAAAGGAAGTTACTTGCTCGACTGTTATAAACCGAATAAGTTGCATTAATTTGCGCTATTTAGATCAATTGAGTATTCATACGTCCAAATGCTGGACGAGAAAATTATTCAATACTTGTTGAATGGGTACCATGAAATTTCATTATTTTTGGTGCGGATTAGATTCCTTCTGGAATTGCGCTAGGAATTGAAGTATTTATTGTACATAAGTGGGCCAAGTATTTTAGGTATGATTTAGCAGGATCTTGATTTCTTTGTATGCTAATGACAACTTTAAAATATTGACATCATCGCTCGACTTTGAGCAAGGTTCTGCATTTTGGATATCTCAATAATTTCGGCCAGTGATGTTTTGTCCTTTTAGTACAAGGTACTGAGGTAATAGTAACTTAGCCTTCTTACTGAAAATGCATATGCAAACCAAAGAGTTCAGGTGGAATACTTTGAGAAGAACCCAAGGTACAAGCAAACACATCCTTATGATTCTGCCATTCGTGCACCAAAAGCCGTCCCCACTGGTATTTTTCTTGGTGGAAAAGTGTGATAAAAAGAGTAAATAGATACAGGAATTTCTTAACGGAGTGATTTAGAGCAAAAGTGAAATAAATTACAAAATAAAAAATATTAAATAAACAAGTACTCCATTTGCAATTAATGTTATTAAAATCAAATCATGACTTCGACCGAAAATTGAGTCACCAACCAGGCTGAACCAGTACTAAACCGATATAAATTTTTTTCGTTGAATTGATTTTTGAAAATTATTGTAAAATATATGTCCACAAATACATTTTTAGGATCGGGACTTGAAAAAATGTATATAACCTTAACTACTATATCATAGTATTATAAATGTTATATTTATTATATATTCCTTTATAAATTCAATTCAAACCGTTTAACTCGTGAGACACCGATTAAATTAGTAACTTAGTAATCCAATATCCATATACTTTTAAGAGTAAATATCCTTTTTAATCTTTAACAAATTTATCGATATCTGCTTTAGTTCCTAATAAATAAAAAAGTTATTCGTGATCTCTAAAAAATTCAAATTAAATTTATTTATTTGAAATTGTGATCCCTCATAAATCAAAAAAGACCCATATTAATCTCTAAAAAAAACTAAAATGTATTTACTCCAAGCTTTAAGACATTTCTTAGAAAGACATATTAGGCTAATCTTGCCGACCTTACACGCTGGGTCCCCCATTTTGTAGTGTTATCGGAAATCGAGGTCGATCTTTTACCCCACTTACAAGTGACAACTGACACATTCAATCTAAAATAAGGTGAATCGAACTGATTTCATAATCCTACTTTTCATCCTTTAATTTCACTATTCAATTTTCCATCTACGTAGCAAGAAAATTTTCGGTGGTTCCACGTCACCATTTAGTAAGTGGTATGGATCAATTAAAATTATATAATTAATGAGAAGAGAAAAGAGAGAAAAAATAAAAAATAATTTTTTATCTAAATATCACCTCTAGAATAAAAAGACCACATGAAATCTGAAGCATCAAAAAACCCACACGTGTATTGTCTAAGAGTTTGACCCCTTCTAGACGTTAATCACCACTGGCCTTTTAATCAAAAACCCAAAAACATAACTAAGAAGTTCTTTCAAAAAGAAAACTAAAAAACGAACTTAATTAAGCATAATAGTTCCACCTCGAATATACTTTTGTTCAGTCATTATTGACCCTTTTATGCCCTTTTTTTTCTTCTTTTTTTTTTCTTTAAAAATAAATAAATAGAGAGACGTCAATGAAAAATCCAACTGGCTTAAGTGGCGGTGGTTGACCCATACGCATTCATGATAACTTTTTATAGGTTGCAAGCAACAACTCAACATTATTGAATTTTATGATGCTGAATATTGCATCGCTGAATTGCATCTAAAACTCAATTTTGATATAGACCCAGAACCCTCTCCTTATCCACCAATTCATTCCCTTTTTTTTCTTTTTAAGAAAGGGTTATATGTATATTATGTTCTAGGAAAATGGTTATCTCATGTTATAGAAATAAAATTACAAGTGGGACCCACATGTAAGAGGAGAGAGAGAAAAATAAATGTGGGACTCACCTCCACTTTGTGTGTATAGGAAGCTTGTTTGTCTTATGCAACATAAGATAAATATAACCCTTTAAGAAATTATGGGCAAACGTAAGAATAATCATAGCAGGAAAGATCCTAGAAAGTTGTTACTCTTCTTTGGTACATAAAATTTAAGGGATAAAAGTTTCTTGCTTTATCTCCAACTCTCACATCGTGCGGCTCCTTTTTTATTTTTAAAAAATCAGTAGGCCAATGCTAATTGTTTCTATTGCATGAAATACCCAATCTCCTATAACAGGAAACTAATATTCTCCAAAATTTATTAATATATTTGATAAAATAAAGGGCAAAATAAAAAAAAGAGAAAAGCAATGCTTGCAAATTTGGCAGCAAATTACCAAAGGAAGATTTCTATTATTCAACAAATTGGAATCACAAATTAACAAGGAATAACGGAACATGTTAAACACTAATTACCCCCTTACCTTATGTAAGATCTTGGTATTCTTAACTATAACCATAATCCATGAAAATTCTTGTACAACCTTATGATCAATACCTGAATGGTTTCAATTACTTTTCTTCACAAGCTAATCACCAAAAGGCCAGCAGGCTCAAGAAGCAAGCAAAAAGTGGCAAGAACGTGGCGAAATTCCGGTGGCTAGCTCCACTGAAATTCTCATCAACGGGATACAAGTTTCCTGGAGGCCCAGTTATGTATATGTAAGATGATGGAGGTGGTGGAGGGCAATACCCTGATGGTGGTTTCTTTGGTGAAGGTGGCGGTGGTGAAGGGTATATTAGTAACGGTGGCGGTGGTGATTGGTACACTACTGGCGGTGGTGGTGATGACGACGGTGGCGGTGGCGATAGATACACTATTTCTGGTGTTGGTGGTGGTGAGGTGTAACCACATGGTATGCACTTCTCTTCACCGTTTGTGGTAGGTACTGTGGTTTCATCAAGCTTTCTTGATTCCACACCACCTTTGATTGGAGCAGTGACACAAAAAAGCACAAGGATCAAATTGAGGATCATTGGTGCTTTACTTTGATGACTTTTTATTGACATGGGGGGTGCTGATTTTGATGGGGATGAGGATGTGTGATATATGTTATATATGTGGGTGTTAAATAAAGTTTTTTGTGTGAAAGATTGAAGAGTTTGGATAGGAGAGGATTAGATGAAGAAGAACAAGGGGATGGTGGTAAAGGATTTCTTACGTTATTAGGCACATGAAAAAATGTAAACTATGGGCAATAGAGCCTTTGGTGTTGGGGGTAATTAATTGGAGTGAGGGAGACTTGTTGCACTTATGGTCCTTTCTAGGAAGGGGTCTATCTTGTGGAATATAAACTCCCATTAGCATGTGGCTAGTGTATACTGTGGGCTCCACCACACTATAAATCCATAAGAACTCAATTATTAACAATTAATAATTAATCTAGGCCACTTTTGATGGTTGAATTTTTGCACAATTAGGTTTAGTCTTTGATCAAATTATATCCTCATCTTCTATTTGAATAACTTTTGAGGTCAAATTATGCACATGAAGGTTTCATATTATAGTCCAGTTTCTTTGTTTGATTTTAGTGCAGCTTGAAGTTGCAAAATTTTGGAGCAAACAAATAGCAGCAGAGTCATTAGCGACAGCTACGCCACGGATGATAAAGCAATTCCTTTTCTTTGTGAAAACGGAATTTTTGAAATTTTCTTTTGCATATTCTATTTTTGTGAAGCTTTCCACATGACAAAACCTTCTATGGTAGGTATTCTGCATGTTACCACATGATTTTTGGACAAAAAAATATTAGCCAATCACTGACCATAGTATTCTAAAATTCAAGAACTTTTCGTAATCTTTCATTTTAAAATACATTGCATAACTTTTCATAGAATTCTACGGTATATTATACGTTGGCACCAATTAAATATAAAATAGTCAACATGGATATAAATAAAGCACAAAAAAAAGAAAGAGATAATGACTGGGGATAAGGTTTTAGCAAGTCACAAACGCATCAAACTTTGTCCACATATGTTTGATTCTACACCATAGAATTGACTCGTAAGACGCATGCTAATTGTTATAATTGAACAAACACACGTTGAGCAACCTCATTGTAGGACTCATCCCTTGCCATGTCTTATTTTCAATCCCAATCAATGGGGGCAATTGGTCATTATCTACTATTGAAACTTTTTGAGTCATCGAAGTCACACTCCACTAGCTTATTGCGTTTTTCCGACTCTTATGTCGATGGGATCTGCTTACATGATTATTATCCCTTCACTCCTCTTTTCTCACAATTTTTTAGAGCCTAGGACAGGTGTGTGATCATACAAATCAGAAGACTCGGATATCCATTTTAAGAAAATAAAAAATTTATTGATGAAGTTTATGTTAAAATTTATATGAAAATTTCATGTCTAATTTTTTACTTTTACTTGAAGAGAATACTAAACTAACTTTAATGTATACAAAAAAACTAACTTTATAAGATATGTTGGACGGCAACAACTCTACTATAAAAATGCAATTCAAACTCAATATTTGAATAATATAAACAACTTACCTACCCTTAAGTTAACTCATTTAGTGTATATAACAGTTTTTTTTTAAAATTTCCGGATTATAATAGTCTTTTTTATTATAATTTTTTAATTCAAAAAAATTGTTTTGAGAATATAGAAATATTAAAATTATATATATATATATATATATATATATATATATATATATATATATATATCCCATTTGGTTTATAATATTAATAATGGGTTTTATAAGAGTTATGTTGTAGGAAAAATGATTGTGTTATGTTATAGAGATTCGTTTTGCGTGCCGGAGTTTTTTTTTTTTTTTTGCTGCGGGTCCCACAAAATGTTGTGTGTGTAGGAAAATTTTTGTGGTCATGTTAAATGATAGATGATACATTAATAATATAGGAGTTGCTTCATGATTTATATAGCAGCCAGCAGAGCAGGAGCACCGACCGTCCCATTTTCGTGAGGCATCTTTCTCGAATCCCCTTTTGATATTGTGGTACAACTTATAATTAAGAGATAGCACTTGGAAGATTCATTTGATTTGCGAAGGATCATCCACTCTGTACAATACTAAAACTTTAGACTAAAAATGATTAATCAATATCCACATAAATATTGTATTAGAATAAGGGTACCCTGCCACACTCGCCACTATTGGTTTGTTTTCTAAACAAATTAAAAAGTTCCCTATAACGAAGGCCACAATATGCATTTTGGCGTACACTTCACTAATTTTTTTACTTAAATATTACGCGAATAGTGTTATTTCTCAATCTGGCACGGGGACAAGTTCGCTACCCGGTGTAGCGAACTCGGTTTGCGACGTGTCATATTTCTAGTGGATAACAAGTACCAAGTTAAAAAAAAAAAAGGGTGTGAAGTTCCCTACATTGGGTAACGAACTTGGTTTAACTTGAACCAAGTTCGCTGTCCCGTGTAGCGAACTTGGTGTCCACTAGAAACGTGACACGTCAGTAAACCGAGTTCGCTACACCAGGTAGTGAACTTGCCCCGTGGCAAATTAGAAAATAACACTATTCACGTGACATTTAGGTAAAAAAATTGGTGAACATTAACATTTTTGATAAGTGTTCTTACTTTTTGAGTTGTTGGTGATGGTATCAGAGCACGCAATGGAATATTAAGTGCCCAAAAAACAACCAACCAAAGTCAATTCCAATAACAGTAGAAGTAATAAGGAGCAGAACATTGAAATAGGACACTGACATTTTTTAAAGTGGGACTAGTCACTAGTGTACCCAGTTTATACAACACTCACTTACATTGAAAAATGAACAAAGTGCTAATTTCCTTGATTGTTGTAGTGTTGTGTTCTCTGTAAGCCAAAGATTAATGAGAGTTTAAACTTTTTGTGTGTGGATCTGTTGGACTCAAGATGTTCAGAGGGTGTTGATTCTAAGTTGTCTTCTTTTATGGACCCGCACAATGGACCCCCCACATTGGGCGCATGGTCCAGCATAGATTCATGTCACTACACAACACACACATCACCCTTTTTAACAAAGGATATACAAGATCCAACATCAACCTTTGACTGAACAGAATCAAACATCTTCTAACCAAATATCATGTTTTCTCAAGGGTCCAAGTTCTATTTTGTTTTAAACTCACATATTGATCTGGCAGCAACCACGGTTTCATGCGTAACTCTAGCTGTACATGTTGGACTTGAGCAACGCTTGTTTTGTTTGAAAGCTGACATATAAAGCTTTAGAATGAAATAAGTTTTAGATTCAGGTTCCTCATCATTTAACACCAGTTTCATTCCAAATTCCAACCCCTTTTCTGCATTATTCCCTTTCTGACATTTGTTGTCCTTTTAATCATAACTTGAGTTATACGTCTCAAAATCAAACACGTTTATTTTCAGTGAAAGCTAATTTGTAAGTCTTTGTCCTGTTGAACATTCAGATTTCAATTCATTGTATGAAAATATCAGTCTGCATTTATATTAGAGCCATTTTTCTGCATAACCCCCAGATAGGATTCCATTGCTTTTCGATTCATTTTTGAAGCTATACTATACGTACGTTTCTCCATGATTTCTGTTCAAATTTTAAAGCTGAATTAGGTGTAACCTTGTCCCTCTAGCTTGCTATGGTAATCTTGTTGAGTCTACATACATTATTAAAACTTATGATGGATTTGAACTCTCAGACTAAAGTGTTGTTGGTTGTGAGAGCTACTAATGCAGCTAGATAGCTAAGAATTTCATCAAGGTTGCATAGGGATCTAGCAAAGGCACACAACCATCATTTCCTTCCTTTAGCAGCGCACTGTGAAGTAGGTAACCCTGTGATTGGAGGCTCTTTACCTGTATCAATTTATCGTGTTTCCTTTGCATGCCTAATGATCAAGTTTATGATCATCCCCTTTTAAGTAGTTGCACATTGTTGGTTCTGTATACATATGTAAATAGTAAAAGCTGGATGATTGTACCTTAGTTGTTTGTTATCATGTGTGTATAAATGTAACGTAAATAATGATATGGATGATAATTATTTTGGTTTAGAACGTAGTTAAATGTTAAATTTGGTTCTGTTCATACAAAATAACCAATTAAATGACAAATTTATATTTTGATGTTTGTCTGTCTTATTATGACTTTTATATCAGAAATTGCATGTAGAGCTCTTAAGATCTGTAAGGGACAATATATAAAATTTTGTACCAAAATTAACAACCATAGCTTGGTAGCAAGTTTGGTGTGTGATAAACCTTTAGTTTATCTTATTTTATAGACTAAAATTACATGAATTATCAAATTAAATAAGTGAAATCTAGGGTTTATTGACACAAAATCATGAACTTTATGAATTATGAATTAAATAATATATATTTTCTATTTTGAAGGAATTTGATGATAAATGGAGTCAAAAATGAAGATTGGATAGATGGAGATCAAAACTAGAAGATATGAGAATCTATCTAAAGAAAATTTAGAAAAATCAAGTTATTGAAGAGGAGGCTTAAGCCCCCATTTCAAAGCTTAAGCCTCCCAAATACTCCAAAATCGCAAAAAGCCACTTTCTGAGGGCGCTTAAGCCCCCAAATTCAGGCTTAAGCTCGCTCCCAGGTAAAAGTTTCTCTTCGAAGAAGGTGCTTAAGCCCCCAAATTCAGGCTTAAGCGCCCACATACAAATCTGCACTACTGTCCCAAGAGGCTTAAGCCCTCAAATTCAGGCTTAAGCGCCCCGAAAGACCCAACTTAGGCCCACTTGAAGTATCCACTAGGACACAAATTATTTGCCCTTAAAAACATATTTTGGGGCAGAATCAATCACTTTTAGACATTCTTGAAGAGTTCTTGGTACTCGGAGGCATAGGGAACGCGGAGAAACACCCAGTTCATGTTCGTGAGCGGCAGAGACGGATCAAAATCAAGCTTGCACTGGAGATATTGAAGATTCACCAATCAACTATGGAGTTTGGGGAAGCTTTTATATTTTCTTTTGTTCTTAATCTTGCTATGTCTGGCTAAATCTTTAGGTAGTTAGGGTTAGATGGAATTCAATTTCTTTATTATGTTTTGAACAATTCTTTATGTTAATTTTTCTTTTTATCATGAATGAAATTATCTTTTCTTAATGCTTTATATGAGCTTGAATCTTATATATTGATCTTAGGTAAATGCATGACAATAAGAATGTTGGTGGATGATCTGTATATGATAATTTCATCGTAAGCTTTATGATTCTAGGGATAGACATTCTTGAATTTAATGCTTACTTTCTTGGGAAATAACCAGGGAACTAGGGTTCTTGCAAGATTGTAAAAATTTAGGGTAACAAGGGATTGAGCTCTTTTTTTTTGGAGTTACCCAACCCTAATTACCTCTTTGAGGCGAGTTGGCTCCCTCCGGTATCCCCACAAGCTTCGACTCTTTGAGCCGGCTATGAGACTAATCCGGAGTGCGGGGGTCAGTAATGGCTAAAGGTTCAGCCCCCTCCCCAAGAATGCATTCAGCGGGAATCGAACACATGTCCAACCCCACTAACTCAGCGCCAAGGAACCAACTGAGCTGCACCCATTGGGTCAAGGGATTGAGCTCTAATTATATAAGAAAGAATCGATTAGATTGATATTAAGGATGATTAACTTAAAGAAGGAATTCAAACATAATCGAGAGATTGAAGGAAATCGAAACCCTAGCTACATTTAATTTCTATTAGTTAATTCAAATCTTTAAATTCTTATTTTTAATTCTTGCGATTAACTAGTTTTAATATTTTAAATTCCAATTCAAATCTTGTTCCAAATACAATTTTGATTGTCTAACTTAAGTTGCAATAGTGAATTAGTGCTTGATCTATAATCCTCGTGGGAACGATATCTTATTTAATCATTATATTACTTGTACGATCGGTGCACTGGCCGTGAGGTCCCATCAGTGTGTACATACTGAAATGTATGGGTACTTTTTCATATTGGGTCGAAAGAAAGTAACTTGGTCAAAAGTTAACAGCTGTGACTTTGTCACAAGTTTGGTACCCTTAGGAATTTGATAGTAGGAATAATTTAAGGGTTTTATAAGAGTTATGTTGTAGGAAAAGTGATTGTGTAATGTTATAGAGATTCGTTTTGCATGCCTAGTTTTTTTTTTTTTGCTTCAAAAAGTGCAAGCCCCACAAAATGTTGTGTGTGTAGGATACTTTTTGTGTCATGTGACATGATAGATGCAAACCCCATTATTTATACCCATATTTGGTACAAAGAAAACATAAATTATGCCTTGGTTGTGACCTGGTATCCATTTAACATTGTCAACAGGCCAAAAAAAACACCTAATTCAACATGGTAATTTTTTATACATGACTACAGGGTATCAATTCACTTTTTTTTGCAGACAAATATACCCTTGTTGCCTCCGTTTTGTGTTGTTTCACAAATCGGTAACCAGATCTACTACGAGAGAGGGTAGTTTCGTAAAAGTTACATATTTTTTCAATAATATTTTAACATCAACTAAACACCCGTTCAGTAAAATTAATAAATATTCCCGATAATATTTTAGCCTACCAAACACTTTTTTCGTATTATTCCCAGTTAACTTTTTTTCCAACTATATTTCCAATAATCATGATACTCAGATACTGAAAAATTATTCTTCTACCAAACACCCCAGTTATCATACATACCTGAAATGTATGTGGATTATTTCATAAGAGGTCTAAAAAAAGTAACTTCCATATTCATGCGTGTCAGAATTTGTGTTTGGAATTGTGTCATACCGTGATGGTAACCATCCCCTGTATAATCTTGAATTCAATCACAAGTACTAGTAAATTTACATCTTGAGCATGTCGCAATTTCTGCAAATGATAATGATCTTGCTAAACCGTAATCATTTTTTTTTATTTATAATTACAAATATCTTTTATGAAAGTCAATTCTATTCAAACTGAAAACATTCATATCATAGTGGGGTTATCTCTCCTAAAAGAAATCTTCTTACATTTACAAGAATTTAAACCTAAGATCTTGTTTAAATGAAATCAAATATGTACTAGTTAAACTAACCTGATTTGGTAAATCGTAATATCTACCTGTAACAACTAGTTAAACACTTTGTCCATTGATCATTGTGTCTTATTCTCTCACAAGTCTCACATCTTATCCAAGTCAGGAAATACACTATATTAGAAAAGTGTCAATTTTCGACAAAAAATATTCCTTGAAATTAATGACAGCATTTTCGATCAAAAATGTATTCGGTCAAAGTTTTCGAAAAAAATTAGATTCCGTCAAAACTTTTTAACAAAAATCATATTCAGTCAAAAATTACAGAGGGAAAACGAATTCAGTCTAAAACCTTACCTTTATTTTCATTCAAAACTTTTGGAAACATTCAGCCGATTTTTTTTTTACAATCCATTGTCGTTCAAAAAAGAGATTACAAATTTTTCCTTCCAAAAAAAAAAAATATATTCTTCTCCCTCTGTATTCAAATCCCTGAATCTTCGCCTCAAACCCCAAGCCTCAGGAGCAATCAAATTCTCTTTTTTCTTCTTGTTCCAATTCCCAAACACAATGCCTGCGATTCCAGAAGAGCCGTTCTAGCTCCAAACTCAGATTGGTTCTACATGTTCCCAATCCAATACCAAGAAACCTGGGAAATGTATAAAAAAGTCGAAGCATCTTTCTGGACCGCCGAAGAGGTTGATCTCCGCCACTGGAACTCCCTCATCGACGGCGAGCGCCACTTCGTGACCCACGTCCTCGCCTTCATCGCCGCCTCCGATGGCATCGTCCTCGAAAATCTCGCCGGAAAGTTCATGAAGGAAATCCCAGTCGCCGAGGCACGTGCCTTATACGTCTTTCATATCGCCATCGAGAATATTCACACCGAGATGTACAGTCTCCTTCTCGAAACCTACATCAAAGACCCCACCGAGAAGAATCGCTTGTTCCCCGCCATTGAAACCGTTCCTTGTGTCGCGAAGAAGGCTGAGGTTAATTTTGTCCGAAAAACTTTCTCAAATATTGCCACTTGGTGGGAATCTGAAAATACCACACATTCAGTGCTATTTTTATATGGGATTTTTCTTCAAAAATTAGAATCACAGGAATTTGATTTTTCCATAAAAAATTTTAAAATCTCTGAACTAAACGTGGAAAAATAACATTTTCAATCTCATTTTTTTCAGGATTTTAAAATTTTTCCTCCTATCAAACACTCTCTAAAAAGAATTATACAAGGTGAAGTAGATCATGACTGCATCTTTATTCTCAACTTCAAACTTATCTTTTTGTTAATTTCTGTAACTGTCATCTAGAATTGATTTTTAATTAAATTTGGTTACCTGTTCACATCATTATTGAATTGTTTAATTTAGAAAAAAATGGTGAATTATTGCTTGAATTTAGTCTTCGTGAAAATGATACGCACTCATCATTTTATTACTTAGAACGTCGTTATACTTTCCGTATTCGCAATAAATTTTGTTAAAAAACTATGTTCAAACCAAAAATTGATTCTCAAGAGTCAAGACATATAAATAATAAATTCCGTACCCGCATTAATTCAAAAACAATATCCATTACCCACATTAATTAATTCTCATATTTATATTTGACAAGCACACCTGCATCAATATCCAAAAGTACCATGAATGAGTTATACAAGCATTCAGTCGAGGCATGCATGTAGTGCAATGACTACTGAGCAAGCATCCATTATATATTACAGACAAGCATGGATGACTTAGAAGCATACCATTATTACAAACAACACAACAAAGTTTATTACATGATGCTTTATTTACTCGCTAAACTTAAGCCAAACCCGTTTCATCACGATCATCTTCTTCTTCTTGTGTCATTTTGGTGCTATGCCTTGACAAGATGAGCATCAATATCTTTTGTGACCTTAGCAGCAAAGTCCATGTAAGAATCAGGAGATGCAGCTACAATATTCTGTTTAAGCTTTTCATATTGTAAGGTCCATTTCACAAGCCCCCCATTTGCCTTATCAATCACTTGTAGTGTGAACTTTAAAATCTTGTAACCCTCACTGATTTCCCCATCAGAGAGGCTATAAGTGATCGACTTGTTAGCATCATCTATGGCTTCAATTTTCTCCTTTAGACTTGTCTTTTTCCCTTCTGCAGGGTTTCACAAGTATTAAAGATAAGTTCAATAACATAACATAAGCCAGGACAACTAAATATGAATTCTGATTTACCTTTGCAAAATTAATAAAAATAGCTTTCAATTAATTTGAGTAATATAATTATCAAACGTACGTATAGCAACCTTACCTATGGTATAATCCCAGTGTGTGACAGAACCAACATTTTCCCAGTCACCTTGATGCACTTTAGCACCATGTATTTTATCTGTTGAGATATTAGGAATATGATGAATTTGCTTTCTGAAGATGTTGTAGAACCTAGCAGCAGGTGCTTGAATCTCTATTTCAGTCTCTAATTTCCCATTAAGAGCCATATCTTTACTCTCTAAAATGCACAGATATAAGAAGGGAAATTCAGATGACTTATAAAACGAAATGAATTCCCTTATATAGAGGATTGTACTTCACTAAATTATTGGTTCGACCGCTCTATTCACTGGCGGGTTCAGATTTCGTGCAATCTATGAGTCTATGACAAAAAGAAAAATAAAATAAAATAAAAGTATTGATTGAAACATTCTTAAAATAATCTATTGATTGGACGTCACTAGACAACTGTGAAGCTTGAAAATTTTAAATTGGTATTAAAATATGAAAAATGGTGCTGGACCGATTATTAGCTTGTACATAATATTATAACTAGACAACGTTTTTCATGGTTCTCGAGGCATATAATTTTCCTCCTATTTGAAAAGTTCTCAATGAACTCACCGAGGTCTTTGTATCATAATTATCTCGTGTTTTTAAAGGGGGAGGAGCAATGTGAGGAAAAGTTAAGACAGGATGCATGGATGTTTTGTAATTGTACGATAGTAATATCGAAATTCTCTTAAATTTTATATAATTTGGTTGCGTCAAAATTTCATATGATTTGGACACATTAGAGAAATCGCTGTGCAATAATCTTTTGCTTTTATAGAGAGGAGCGATGCTAATTCAGATTGATACGATATGACACGATATAAATTTGACACAAACATGAATACACATAAATATGAAATTAAAAATGAATCAAAACCTTTGATACGAACACAAATAACCTCCTAATTTCAAAGTATTTCACTTATTATGCAGATTGATATAATATGAATAACCTGTCAACCTCAATGTATGTCACTTATTATTCGGGTTAACATAACACAACGTGACACATGACAGGACACAATACGAATAACCTATAAGACATTAACGCGAGTCAATTTTGCGTTTGTTGGTTGACATGCAACATGACATTAATTATTTTCATATCAGTTCTTACTAATACAAACACGACACAAATTGAAAAATGATACAACCCGAACACAAATTTTTTCTGTCATATCAGCAGGTCGTGTTGAAAATTGACCCTACCTATGAGCATATAGAAGAAATTGTTGGGGGCCAATAATGCCCCTCATAAATTGCTTCATAGACTGCTCGAACCCGTGAGGTTGTTCTCAAATCAATTGTTAGGATCAAACGTTTATCATTAGACCAAAAATTATAGCTAGATGCAACTTTATTTTTTTATCCATTTGGCTCTTATAGTTACATATATAGAGCTCCACACTATGTAACAGATGAACATGAAAGGTTACACGTTAATGTCAACGAGTTGGAATGTTAAATCTCTTGCATTTAGTCATGCAACTGCAAAGAAGAAACAACTTGTATTCATAATGTTGGGTATGACTCATACTTAACATACTGATGAGACCTCTTATTGGCGGGGTCAGTAGAAAAGCAACCAGGTGAGCGAGCGGGGGTCCGAGGAAGCCTCCTCGACAAGGTGCGGGGGCAGCACCCCCAACCCGTAGAGGCCTGGTACTGTTATAGGTCTATGACATATTGTAATTTTCTTTTACTTAGTAGTTTGGGCTTGGGCCCATAAATAACTGTTGTTAGGATTTTCTAAATCCTATGTATATTCTCTTGTAAACCGAGTGGCTTGTAACAAGTGTGGTGAGGTGAATATAGTACAGACAAGCTGGATGTAGCCTAATTGGGTGAACTAAGGTAAATCATTATGTCAAATCTCTCTTCCCTTTCTCTTTCGTTATTCGATTTGTGTGTGTGTCGATTTTCAACATTTGGTATCAAGAGTTTTGGTTCTGTGACCGAGGTTCTTGTGACAGATTGGGATTTCGTGATTTGGAGATTTTTCTTGGCATAGAGAAAACTGTGAAATTAATCTGGAAAGGAAGTCGACTGGACAATCATGAGTAGATGTTGAAAAGTTCGGAGGAAAGGGGTTCGAGTTATGGAAGTTGAGGATGAAGGCTTTGCTTGATGACAGGAACGTGTGGTACGTGATCGAAGATGAGAAGCCATCAATACCAACGAAATTTGTCAATGATGGAACGTCGAAGGAAGGCGAGTCGAACTAGTTGAAGGTGTGGACTAAAGATGATCGAAAGGTGCGAAGCCATATTTGGTTATGCCTGGTAGATAATGTTCTAGTGAACGTAACTTCTGAGAAGATCGCGAAGGATCTTTGGACGAAACTTGGAGGTCTTTATCAAAGCAAGTCACTCTGCGAAGGAAGATGTATAATTTGCGGATGAACAAAGGTGATTCTTTCTCTGCTCTTTTAAATGAATTTAACACTATTTGTGCGCAACTTTCATTTATAAATATAAATCTAGACAAAGAAGATAAAGCTTTCACCTTGTTGTGTTCACTGCCAAACTCTTGGGAGCACATCATTGTTTCAATCGGTATTATCGTTAATAAACTGTTGTTCGAGATGGTTGTTGCTGCCCTATTGTTTAAGGAGAAAACAAGGGTAGGTTCTAAAGGTACTAGTAATGAGGCTGTAACACCCCGTAGTTCTCCGGTTGTTAACATACATGATATTTAGCATACACATCAGAAGACTTTATCTTAAAAGAATAATAAAGCGTCTTATAAAAATACGAGTAAACTTTTTCCAAAATATTTTCTAAAACATTTTCAAAGCGTTCATCTGATATATTGCATTCGCGTAACATTAACATCTAAGTTTACTAATTAAAACCATTGGCCATCACTAGTGGCCGTTGACCATCCGGATAAGAACTCAAGTGTCATTTCTGATGAAGTCTCACAGATAGCATAACTGGTGTATTTCAGATAACTGGGAACATGGGTCCCACACATACAATAACCTGATAAATACAATAATTAAACAGACAGCTCGCAAGTCCCACACGGACTTCGATCCCCTCTCAGGTCAATACAAATAATAAAGTTCCATGCCCAAATAACGGAAAACATACACCAAGTCTATATTAATTTCAAACGCGTCTAAGCATCAGTAAATAATCCATGGCTCCAATACTACAATCATGAGCCTAAATAAATACATAGCATAATCTCAACATAAGATAATCGGACATGTTAATAAATATACATGACATCATAGAGTCTAAACATAAAAAAGATAAATCAGCAGCGTCATCCACTACTCCAAGGCGGGGGGCCTTGCCCCTAGAAGCATCACCGCTACTCTGGGTACCTGGAATGATATCCCCAAATGGGGTGAGATAACACATCTCAGTAAGCTCAAGGTTCATAGAGGATCCTCTAATCCTCTGAGCCCACTTCGTGTATGACAAGTCAGATATATAACATATAATACAGGCATACAACATAAACATAGCATCATTATATCATCCTTGTTTAACCCCAGGGTCAAAGCCATAGACAGTTACACATGTGTGACTCCAGGGTCAAGCCATAGACAGTCAACACAACTTCTGTATGAATTAGCTCTCAGAGTCAAGTCATAGGCAACCTACATACCATGATTACTGGCCAGGATTCTCATAATATATATCATTAGGGCATCATATAACATCAAGAATCATATAACATTTACATGAATGTGAATGAATGCACATATATGTTATACCACATACTTTCATACAATACAACCATAATGTCTGCCATCATGGTGGGGCCACAAGAGAGAGGAGCAACTAGAACTAGGAGCTTACCTCACAGAGCTTAGTACAAGCCCACACTCCAATA